AGCTTGAAGCAAAGCTTATGAGGGAATCGGTAGAGCTTGAAAAGAAGCAGAAAGAAAAGGAGCTCTTGGAGAAAAAGAAGTCGCTCTTTCCTGAATGGACCATTACTTCGCTCCAGAGAGAAGCTATAGATGAACCGAGTACTCATTGGCTCGAACCTGTAATGTCGTTCGGCCCTGAAAACTCGAAGGACGATCAATTTGATATGCCAATCACTCGAAAGGCATTCATCTTTCATTGCTTCAACTCCACTGTTACCATTCCTTCTCCAGACCCGAAGGTAGATCGGGATATGTTAGAGTTCTATCTGGAATTTGCTCAGCCACAGTACCTGACATGGAGCTCAAAGAAAATCACTACTGTCAAGGTGCTGAAGCCTTATTCAGCTGGGAAATTTGTCAATGTCAAATTCAAAATGACTCGAGGCTCTGAAGGCTCGGTCCATAACTTTTCCCTGGCTGATCTACCTAACCTTAACCCTCACGGCTGGATACTCCTTAACAACATTCTGCTGTCCAATCCTCAGGAGTATCAGCCGATAATAGACCATATCAAGCGAATGCTTGTTTGCTACATTCATGAAGTAGCGAAGATGGACCAAGAAACTGCCTCTGTCATTCACAAGCGTCCAACGATCAAACCTTCGGGCAGCATTGGCAATGTGAATGTCATGGTCAAGGGTAAAATCGATCCCCAATTTCACACTGTGATGTTCGTTAGGGGCGAAAAGCAAAAATGTATCTTCGCTCTTTGTGATAAGCACCTATTCTGAACTGCTTGCTTGGAGCATATTTTGGAGATAATCCACAAGTGCAATCAGAATTCTGCAGCTGACAAGAAGTTGTTTACTGACATGCTGCGATGGTATATTCAGTTTCGGCAGACACTTCTTGCTATAATTCCTAGGCTGTTCAAAGTTGTGAAGACGGTGAAGGCTACTCAACAGAAATAAACTCTCGCCTCATTCGACGCAAAGAGGGAGATTGTTGGGTTATATAGTGTTGCGTCATAGGCTCGGTCCTTAACCCAGTTTTCCTATCCAGTTTGGGCCTGTCCAACTGTGATTGTTTTATTTAGGGTTTTGTATATAAGGTGCATGCATGCAGCCTTTGTCAAATACGTTTTTTATAATTATTGTTTTGAGTTGTATTACAAAACCCTAGCTCGCCTCTACAGTGGAAGTTCTTTGTCGAGCTCTGCTGAGGCATGACTACGTTTGAATCATTCAGCATTATTTGATTCCGTGTTGTGTTCTCTGTGTTTATTTGATTTTATTGTTTAATCTGTTGAAGATCTAATCGATCTAAGAGTTATTCAAATCAACAACATCCTTCTACTAAATGATAACCAAACGAGTGGGCTGGCTTTGGTGCCTTCGGCTCACGGGTATAGTAAGGAAAGCTCACCTGAATGAAGAATCCTAAAAAACTGAGATACACTTCCCTTTCTGCATTGCTAGATCCCGTGAGTCCACTAATCGCCAAACCAGGTAGAATCTTAATCAACAGTCCAAAACCCTCACATTTGACCCAAAGTCACACTGGTCACCAAAGTCAATGGTCAAACTTAGTCAAGGTCAACGCCACGTTGTGGTCCTCCTTGGCCACATCGTAGGGTCAAAAGGTCAAATAGTCAATATGCAGGGTATTTCCACGTCGTGGCCCTCCTTGGCGACGTCGTGGACAGATCAGAACAATACAGTCGTGATTTTTGACTCTGCCACGCCGTGGATACCTTTGTCACGATGTGGCCACTGGAAAATGACAAATTTCCTCATTTTGAGCTTATTCCTTTCATATCTAAGCTCGTACTTTCAGATCTACTTCTCCACACTGACTTAATGGATAAAGTTTCCAACTTTATCCATTAGGACCTCACCATAAGACAAGATCTTAAACCCTAAGTCCATTAAGTCTTTAATATGACCAAAACTCAAACATGGGGCTAACATTACTCAAGATAAGACCTTTTTCTCACTAGCTCAAAAGTTCATGACCAAATAAGCACTACATCAAGCTCTGAAGTTCCTCAAACTCCAAGAGCACTGAAGAATGGGACCAAAACATCCAAAAATGTGCTCATACTTGAAACAAGAAGAACAAAGGTCAATATATGAACTTTTTACCTCCAACAACTTAGAAATATTAAGAAGAGCGTGGATCCAAACTTGATCCTTGCTTCCTTGCACCAAAATGAACTACCCTCTTTTCCAAGTTTCACCAAATGAAGCAAACAACCTCAAGATAAAGCCACCAAGGTTAAAATTAAGGAAAACATGCTAGGGTTTCAGAATGGGGAGATGGAGGCTGAAGGAAATGACTTAGAATGGGAGTTAAGGGGCTTAAATATGGGAGAAACCCTAAAAATACATGGGCTTGGGCTGCCACCGTTGCCACGTCGTGGCCATCCATTGTCACGTCGTGGCAGCCCTCTAAACATACGATCCATTAATTTCACACCACGTCGTGGGCATCCCTTTCCCACGTTGTGGCTGAGGATTTGCTCCAAAAAAACCTTGTTTGAATTCCTTTAATACTGACCAACATTCTTCGGGAAACATGTGTTACAACTAAATTGATGTGTTCAACAGTATGTCTTATGAGGTCATCACAATCGGGAGATCGAGAAATTTTTTTTGGACAAAAGATTGATTATAATCCATGTCTCATGTCTATATGATATCTTTTAGAAGGAAGGAATATTTTCGCACTTATCTTAGGACCGATATCTGATTAGATTAGAGTATGGAGTTGCTTTGGAAAGCACTCTTTGATGTTTGATTTAGAAGTTATACTTGCAATTGTAGTTATAGACTTATCCAAGTGGGAGACTGTTGGATTAAGTGTCTAAGTCAATAACTAAATTGGTATGTACTTGAATTAAACGCAAAATCCTTTTGGTTTGCCCTCAAAACTAATAATTGACACAATGACTTTTTGGAGAGAGAGGTTAATTTATTGGTTATTATAAGATTAATAAATAGAAATAAATAATTTATTGATATATTATGAGTATAATATATTAATTAGAAATAATATTATTTAATTAATAATTAATCAGAAATTAATTGAAATTTATTTTGGGATTAATTGGATTAATTAAAAGTACAAGGACCTAAGATGTAATTGTTCAATAATTGAACAAGAGAAGGATTCTAGAATAATACAAGGATGCCCGGAAATTTAAAGCCACCTTAGGTTTCTAGATCAATCCTTAAGGATAATTAAGAGTGTGGATAATTACCTAATTTGAGATATTAGTATTATATTCAAATTAGTGTTCTCTAGGGTTTTCTTGTTCAACTATATAAGGAGCCTTGGGGCTCATAATTTCGGCCACTCCTTCTCAAGAAGTGAAAGCCGAAATCACCTTCTCCCTCATCTTTCCTCTCAAGTCTTCTATTGCTAGGGTTTGGGTACAAACCATTAGAGGCACGAGATTTTTGGTGCTTGCTTTCTAAAGCTTGTCTAACAAGGAATTGTTTGATTATTTACTACAATAATCAAAAGGTATGTAAACCCCGAAACCCTTTATTAATTTCGAAAATAATAGAATATTCCTAGTGTTCTTGATGTTCAATTGTTTGTTGCAATCAATAGAGAAAACTTAGATCAACTAGGTTGCATGTGAACTTAGGGTTAAGTTTTTTTTCCCCTTGATAAATGACATTCTCGTGAAAGTAGTATTGTATTAAGCGTTGGTTGGCTTCTTCACAGTTTCTGTAAATATATCTTCGTGTTCTCCATTAAGAACTTTCAGCAGCGTTATTGCATAAAGCGACATAGGCTTGCCGCGCCATTTAACCACAAGTGACAGCAACATCAAAAATAAATTGAAATTCATCAGATGACCAAGAAGATGATATTTTCTGCTGATTTTAAGAGAAAAAGTTTAGAAAGATTTAAAAACTTGGTTTTGGTTTGAAGAAATAGGGGTGAAAATATGGTTTTATAAGGAAAAAAATTATTAGACAATTGACTGTTCAACGGTCCACCAAACCCTTCCACCAATCAAAATTTAGTACATAGGGGTGGGGTGGGTGTTCCCCTACCTATGTGGCATTGAGTGCGGCCAAACGGTAGCCTATTCTCACAAGTCTCACATAGATCACAATAGGCAAATGTTTGAGCTGGGATTTATGGGCTAATTATCCACTAGACTTAAGTGCATAATTTTTTGCTATTGTTTTTAATAAAGGCCTTGCTCTTTGAGGAAAAAAAAGGATTAATATTTTATTTGGCGGTCATTTGTACATAGTAATTATTTATTTATACACAAACTAGTTTATAACCCGTGAAAACCACGGTTACAAATTTAATTAAATTTTTATAGTAAAAACTCAAAATTATTAATTAATTATTTTAAATAAATTATTAATTAAGATATTTTTTTAGTTATATAAATTTTAATCATTGATTTATATAAATATGTGAAATTATGTCATTTTATAATTTGTATTAATTTTATTTTAATGCTATTAATTTAGTGTAATTAAAGTGGAAAATTTAAAATTTGAAATTTGAAATGGAGTTGACAAGTGTCATGCATTAATTAGTAGATATAATAAGTTGACAAAAAGAATAAAATATATATTAATTAGGATGTCTAATAGTATTATACATATCAAAAAGAAGAATAAAACTATTGTTTTATTAGAATAGGGATTAGAATAGAGATTGTTATGTTTTAAAATGTTATATTGAACAACTTTATAAAATATAAATTATTGTCTACCAAAAAAAATATTATGTAAGAATAAGTTTCGATATCTTTTGAAAAATGCTCGGATTTCTTGTATCTAAATTGTGAAACAGTTTGTATAAATTTGTGTAAGTCATGAGCCAATACTAGTCCACTCACCTACTCACGACAAATTGATCAATTTGTACCAGGATAAGCGTGTAGCTCTGTTGACTAATGCAACAATAGAAGACCTAGCTATTGCTACTGTTTCTGTTGAAACAAGGTTGCCAAGTCTAACATAACAATTATCAAACTAAAACTAAAACCCAAAATTTTGAGGGGAAGTAGGCCACAGTGTAGATATTTCGTCACTTATTTTCCACCACATTTCCGTATTGTAACCAAATACTGCCAGCTCCTCGTTCAGCTTGGTCTTCGTCTTGGTTAGATCATTTTGGTGAATTTGTTGAGTAGCAGGAGTTGTATCTACTAATCCAAGTTCTTCCTCTAACAATCTCATCCAGTACTCAACATCTATCGATCCATTTGGAATATGGGCTCCATGGTGTTCCGCGATTGGTTGTGGCTGTAATTGTATGTCCTCAAGCATGTTCCAAAACTCAACCTCTGATTCTGAATGAATTTCAAGATTTACTTCATCATGAGTATTGCAAGACGCGGTTGAAGATGGGGTTGATGATTGATCTATATCTTCTACCAATAATGTACCTCCACCAGCTCCCTCTCGGGCTATCACTTTTGGATCATTATCCAGGTGATTAGAAGAAATTTCTTGACTATTAATGTGAGGTTGATCAATACTAATTGAGATGTTGGAAGCCGGTGACGTTGAAGGTGTTGACAAGAAAGTTTCATTTTTGCTCATCAGCACTGATCTTTTCTTCAAATGTGTATTCCACACATTCTTGATCTCGTTGTCCGTTCGTCCAGGCAACTGAGATGCAATCTTCGACCACCTGAAGCCATAAACTACTTCATTACATACATACATACATACATACATACATACATACATACATACATACATACATACATACATACGTACATTAAATTTATTATTACTGTTACTACAAGGAGGAAATATATAGAGGTAGCTAGTAAATGCATGATTACTTGTTCCCGAAGGTGGCGTGAAGGCGAATAATGGAATGCTCTTCTTGGGGAGTAAAACTTCCCCTCTTTACATCTGGCCTTAGGTAATTTATCCATCTCAGACGGCAGCTCTTTCCACACCTTAGCAGACCTTCAAACCCAACGATTTAATATTAGATATTTACTTAGTATTTCTTTCAATACCTGGTGTGCATTTTGTTTTGGATTTGAATTTTCAAGAAGGTGGTTAATATTTGCCTGCAAATAGTACTCATGGATTTTTATTTAGACTACTCGATTTCGTCAGCCAATAGACCAACCATATATAGAACAAAACAGATGGATCATTATCGACCAAAACCAATCGTGCTTTTGCATGCATTGATTTTATTTATCAGCGGTTAATTAAGAAAGAAAGAGTGAAAATAGGTACCGGCTTGTTTTGGGAGAGAACGCCAGTTGGAATGGCCATGTTTCTGAATGAAAGAGACGAGCCTGACGTCCTCCGCCGGACTCCACGGCCCTTTCTTCACCTTACTCTTGTCACAGCACGGGGAACGCCCTCCTCCTCCTCCCATCTTATTTAGTTAGTTATATATCGATCGAAGCCTCGCTAGCTACTTTTTTCAATATATGCTTGCCAACTTCCTTCTCCTGCATCTCCATATATATATA